CAATTTCCATATCGGTTGCGATCGAGAATACTAGCTTATGCTGCATTTGTTTCACCACTTATAACGGGATGAGCGGTTTTCATAACCCGATCGGTGGGCGCGCTGTCAACATAAACAAATTAAATCCTAAATTCCGTGACTGCTAGAATCACTTTCTAATCTAACTGTACGTTAATTTCATACGTCGTCGTAATTACGTACACAAAAGTCTTGATATCTCAATAATGAGAACTCAAAATGATTTTTTTACAGTTGTAATGCAAAGGAACTGATTACTTTAAATGCCAAGATAGATTTGCGTTTCCAATACATAAGTGTGAAAGGGAGAGAACGAAAGTAATTTATCACTTATCATTTCACAGAAAAATTAGAGAATTTAGGAAATTCGTCTGAACTCCTTGTCAAAGCTATGCGATAATAGCCGGTTAAGAATAATTTTTTAAATTTAGGTCGGACGCAACCATAGTTTTTCCTATGTTCATTGGACAAAAATGTTTATGCTGACAGGCCCACTGACGGAGACAAGGGAAAACTGGAATGGCCAATTCTGACTCAGCGATAGGGCATTCGACCTAATGATCGATGATCTCTGGTAGGAATCCCAGGTGCTCCAAACATGGGGTCGAATAGGGCTGGCTGATGACGGTTAAAAAGCTAGAAATGGACACTCCAGGTCCCCTTGTCTTCGACAGCACTGCCTTCAGTATATTTATAATCGTTACACAACTACCTTCATGGGCTTTTGCTTGAGTCTTAAAGCACCACCTGGCAAGCATACCCCGTAAGCATGCCAGTGAACACAATTTTGGCATAGATCATACTTATATCCCTTTTAGTGCACGTAACTGTCCAATGAAACCAACTTTTTGCCTTATTTTACCAACAAGACTGCTCGATAGCAGTTGTGATTAAAGATGCTAAAAGTATCTAAGGCCGTGTCTTATGAGGCAAGTTTCTGGGAGAGAATTTGATGACATAATATCTTCCGTTAGCGTGGACTTAGCTGTAATGTGAACTTCACTACTGTGAGAGTGTTATGTGCAGTAAAAATGTTATCATTTCGTCTGCCACGGCTGCACAGACAACGAAATAAACTTCGTTGGTTTGAAGTCTTAGAGACAGAGCCAGAGGTCTTAGAAAACGTGAAGTAGCATGCAGTAATTGCAAGCAGCTAGATTAATTGTCCAGATTTAAGACAAGTTCTCCAAATGCTGAGTGAAATTTCATTAGGTTTTCGCCTGCAATGGTTTGATGATCCTTTCTTTTATTCAAAAGTGTTTCAGCAAATTTCAGTCGATTGTCGGTACGCAATATGAAGTGGCCCTGCTCTCTGAAGCTTTGGTCGATTGTCATTATTA